ATTAATGCTTTACAGCAAGGTCATGGGGCTTATTTGCTGGAGCAAGATGAGAAATCATACGACAATTTTATTATTAATGTTGGTGCATTGCCTCCATCAAAAGAATGCATCATTACTATAGCCTATGTTTCCGAATTGGAATTTGTTCAAGGATCTACAATTCAATTTGTAGTTCCAACAACTATTGCACCTCGTTATGATCCCGACAAAGGTAGTATTTCATCACCAGCAAATACAAATTCTTTGTATGTTCAATCAAGTTCTTACACAATCGAATTTTATTGTCGTATTGAAAAGATCGGACAACAAATCGCTCGAATAAATTCAACATCACATCCGATTGATGTTGATATGAATCAAACAGATGCTTATATGGTAAAATTTAGTCAAGAAAATACACATTTAGATCGAGATATTCGAATTAATATTGAATTGACAACAAAACATGATAGTACGATTCTTGCTGTCGAATCTGATGCTTTAATGGTTGCATTTGTTCCAACTGATAACAATTATTGTCAGCAAACAACATCGAATAGTGAATTTATTTTTATTATTGATTGTAGTGGATCGATGGCAGACGAAAACAAGATTGAACTCGTTCGAGAAGCTATGTTAATCTTTCTCAAAAGTCTACCAATCAATTGTTATTTCAATATAATTCGTTTTGGTTCTGATTATGAAAGTCTTTTTGAAAAACGTACTGTGATCTATAATGAAGAAAATGTTCGAAAAGCTGAAACACTCATTGAACAAATGAAAGCCGATATGGGTGGCACTGAATTGGTAAGTATTGTTCTTCTTTGATTTCTCCTATTATATATCTGTTGGATCAATGTAGTTGCAACCATTGCAATGGCTTGAACAACAAGCACCTGATCAAGGACGAGGACGTCAAATCTTTCTTCTGACCGATGGAGAAATTTCGAATGTTTCGGAAGTGCTCGAACTATGTCGATCAATGGCTTCAACTAGTCGAATTTTTTCATTCGGTCTAGGTCAATCACCAAGTCGTTCTTTGGTTAAAGGTCTTGCTCGATCGACTAATGGTCAATTTATTTTTATTTCACCAAATACGAGTGTTGATGCTCCTGTATGTGAACAACTACGAAGAGCTCTTCTACCATGTATTACCAATGTGCACATCAAATGGAATCTTGGAGTTCAAGTTCAGAATGTTCCACGACAATTACCTCCGATCTATTTCAACGGTAGACTCATTGCCTACGGTCTCATTGATGATAAAACTATTCCATTCAAACATGATTCTTCTGTTGAACTTGAAACTCATCCGGATCATCATCAATTAGCCATAGCTCAAGTCAATCGAGTACCAACTGTGAGTGACAACGGAACAATTGCACGTCTTGCTGCTAAAGCACTCATTCTTGAATTACAACACGAAAAAGTCTCGTCGACAAGATCCACGATACAACCACAATTACAAGCGATGTCATTGCCAGAAACAGAAGAAATGATGACGATGAAACAGCAAATTATCGAATCATCACTCAAATACAATATCTTAAGTCCATACACCGCTTTTGTAGGTATTGAGAAACGAATAAATGAAAGCAACAGTGGCATGATTTTACGTGAAGTACCGATTCAAATATCCATGGATGATCGATATTCACAGTTGATCAAACCGTCAATGCACACTATGATGTCACCAAGTTATTCACCTTCCTCACCACGTTATTCACCTTCCTCACCATGTTATTCGCCTACTTCACCAAGTTATTCACCTACTTCACCATGTTATGCATCTAGCTCACCACAGTACATGTCATCGTCGTTGAATTTTGTATCTTATTCACCGAGATATATAATAAGTTCGTCAAATATTGATATAACGATGAATAATGAAGTAACCTCTTCTTTGAATTCTTCTGCCGACTTGAACGACATGATTAGCAAGAACTCGGCGACAACCAACGTGAAGAAAAGAAAGTACGATGCAGATGAAGAATGGCCCGATAATGATCAAGATATTGTTCGCCATTTGATTAAGAAACAAACATTCGATGGTCTCTGGAATTTGGATGCTGAGAGTTTTGAACATTTGACTCGAAAATCTCTAGCAGAATTTCAATCAAGACATTCTCAAATCGATTGTAAAATTCTTATATCGATCATTGTCATCGCTGTATTGGAAAAAAATTTCAAAGCTTTTGAATTATTGTGGTATGCCGTTGTACAAAAAGCTCGTAAACATCTCGCCGATCTGCTCAACAATCAATCGAAAGATTTCAATATATTGCTAGCTGAAATTTTTCAAGAACTATGAACAAAACAAATATATTAAAACTTTGAATTTGTACGATAATATCATGAGTCTATTCAAAGAAATAAATACACTAGAAATCCAATTCATATCTTTTTTTTCTCGAATATTCATAACATTCAATCTATTTTGTTTTCACTCGCACTTGTAGAATGAAAGAATAACCAATGTGAGTTCTTTATTTTGACAAGTAAAGTGTGAATAGTCAAATTGATGAGTTCAAGCTTCATCATGAATCAGCCAGGTAGTCGACTTGAATAAGTCAAATAATTGTTCAAAATAAGCATTTTATTACGTTTTTCCATAATTAAACAGAGATAAAAGAAGAATAGACAACTATTTTTCTCCACACATGTGTAGTGTCTCTCGTTATAATAGTGTTACTAAATGAAAACTCAATAATATACATTTTTCTTTCTGAGTTTAGCTTTTATTGTGCACTTTCTTTTAGAATCAAACAGCATTTGTATCGAACAATACGACTGATGAGATTCATTTCTAAATAGTTTCTTGGTAAAACAAAGGCAAACGCAGTACTCAATATGAAACCCGAAAGCAGAACGCTTCCCATTGCCAATAATATACATCGGCTAACTAATAGCAACTAGTATTGTAATAGATCGATACTAGTGAATAAGATACGTTGGACTATTTTTCGGTGATTATGATTTAGGACTGCAATTTGATAATCTTCAAACAAAGCATGATAAATTTTCGAAAGTTTCTTCTCACTTTTGTATAATAATTGACGATTGATTTATTGCCCCAGACTGGATTCCATCTAAAATTTTTATACTTGTCAAGGCTATTCCGATAGTATACGTTGATTGATTAGAGTAAACTGTTAGTGCTATTCACTCTCTTTCTAGTTATTGTAGAATTTTTTTTTTCTTTTTCGTAATGTTTTGGGAGTTGATGCTACCTTTTTCACAGTTTATTGACAGAAAATGAAATTTACTACGACACGCACATGCACTTTATTTTCTATTGTTATTGTATTTTTGAAAGTGAGTCGGAAGAAGATGACAATAATAAGTCGCTTTCGCCAGCTACCATCGTCTTGCCAACTCACTATCAAAATCACAATAATAACAGAAAGAAAAAGAAGAAAATAAAGTATATATGTATGTTTTGTAGTACATTTTATTTTTCATCAATAATGTCTGAAGAAAGTAGCATCGACTACCGAAACGTGATGAAAAAGAAAAAGCATATCCTAGCACTAACAATTAGTTATGACCTTCTTTAACAAAAATAAATGGATTAGAATAAACTTCAATGGAAGATAGCTGATCCTCCTAATGAATACTTTTAAATATCGAATGGATAAGATGATAGTTTTGAATAGTTCAATCCAAGTAAATTTTTTATTTCACACAGGAATGTTGATAGATTTCAAACTAATTAAAATTCAACGAAATGCAAGTGCCCGCAGGAAATGTATGCTCAGAAATCGAAGAATACGTGAATAATTCACATCGAAAATTTATATAGTTCAATGAATATCTAGCATTACTTTGAATATTTAAACATTTTAGTATTGTACTTGCATTTTTACTAACTGAAAAGCATAGTTGATTGATGAACCCAAACTCAATAAATGTATGTCTACCAATTTTTAAGCTTCTTCTATCACTAAAGTATATTTACACGTCGATTTTTCTTAATTGATAATTGTCATTTTCTTTTTAGCATGTCATTTCTTTTTACATAGGAATATTCTTCTATTATCTATAATACCGGTTGTTTATTTTCCACTGTTTTCAATACTGAAAAATAGTATCTTCTCTGATTGGGACCAGGAAGACATACTAATCATATTAATCGTCATCATCATAGCCGAAAAATAGAAAGTTACCACACTCTTTCATATAAGGATGTGAGTGTTGGTGAGTGGGTAAGAGCCATCCTTCACCCAAATTTCCATTCCAGCTACACTCTTACACTACACATAACTACATCTCACACCGAACTCATCTACATCCACACACTCACCAAAAACAACTCACACCCACATTCTCTTATGAAAAAATCAGAAAAAAACTGTGTCTATAAACAATGACTGAAAGGAGAAAGAGAAATATATTTATCACGTCATCACTTATCATGTTTACACAATCATTACGCCATTCGTTTCTTTAACATACGTCAGTAAACTGGAAAAAAAAACATCTGCACTATATAATCGACTCTTCGTTTATTTTAGTTTGTGAAGCTTGCTATAACTTTAACAACTTTTCTGCCTCAACATGTTCAATTCGGTTTCTTACTTCCATTACACGTCTCTATTCTATGCGTATTTTGCAATCGGTTCGGGGCTACTTACGATTATTTTTGCCATAATAACGTGTGCCACTCGTTTTCAGCACAAGATTTTTGCATGGTCTATATTAGGTATGTTCCTCGATACCAGTGTCGCGTCACTTTTAAGCTATATGTCAATGCCTGTTTTGAAAGATAGCAAGCTCAATGAAAATGTGCCGAGTTTATTTATCACGGTTGGATCCTTATACTTGTTACTGTGTATTTATGTAGTTGGACGCATATTGATTTTTCATTCAGTTAACGATGATGGC